GCCTCTCTCTCGCTCTCTCTTCTCATGGCATTTCCTTTTGTCCCCTTCTAGCTGGGCACTCCCTGCAGAAAGGAAATTCTTCTGGAGCCGCTCCAAACCATGGCCTCTTTTTCCCTCTTTTACTAGAAATCTTGGAAGGAGGGTACAGTCTGTCCCAACTTTCGACCTGCATGTAAACAAACGATCTGCCTGTTCCAGAAATCGCTCCAGCTTACATATCCGCTTATCTGCCCTGGTAGTTCTCATCTGAGATTTGTGCAGTGCCTGTTATCATTAAGCTCCACAATATGCTGCAATCAACACGAGATAATATACAGGATGCTACATTAAGACACGAGATAAATCATAAAAACATCCCACAGCAGAAGAATGTGCTTCTTTTCGCACCGCATTGAAAAAAAACCTTGAGTTTCCCAGAATGAGAGCCACCCACAGTTCAATGAATGTGCAGGAAAAAAAATCCCACAATACCATTTTCCCGCTGGGACAAACAACCTTCTGTCTTGTTCACACAGTTATTCTGCAGCCCTGCATCAGCAAGTTCACTACCAAAAATATTACACGCATGAAAAAAAGTTCTTCTTTTCCAGTAAATCTAATTGATGTGGCGCTCAGACGGCGTCCATCTCTCAACTCGATTCTGTACGGTCAAATTTAATCCAGGAGCAAATGCTTAGATTTGAATTTAAAGTGGCTGCGTCACTTCTCAGTCGTAATCCAATACTGTCTATCTGTTAAATCATTTCCAGTACTTTTCATTCGCCGCACATGACTGTTTACAGCTAGGTCATAAATGAGAGCACACTTAACACTGGAATCTAGGTCACCATGTCACCTAGGGGCAGCTCCTTAGGCAAAGTGAGAGCTTTAAGACAACTGCGTTTGATATGAAGAGAGATTAGGATAGGCCTCAAGTTTCAGTTGCCCAGTTTTTCACCATTTCAATGCTTAGAGGAAAGATTCAGTTGCGTAATTTAAGATAAAAACTCAACAGAGGCCATAGATCTTCATTTCCTGGTCTGCCCCAGCTAGTTTTAATTAGATGTTTTGCAAAATCTTGTATGCAAACTTACAAAACTGCACATTTATGGGAAAATACTTTAAAAAACCAAATCAGTAAATGATATATTCCACGTCCCTGCGGTATTCTACTCTGAAGGCAGGCCAATGTTTTACTGCTTTTCACATTATCAGTGCTATAACCTCACTCTCAGCTGGCTGAGATGCAGCGATATACTGTAAATATGGTGTTTGCATGGTTATACGAATGTGTGTGTGAAGCTGAGAGCGCGAGAAAGAGAGCGATATAAGCAGACAGAGATAGTGGAAGCGGGGGAGGGAGGGGAGGGTGAGACTTTGGTGTGGTTGTTTTTTTAACTCCCTTTCTCAGAAATCCTGCCCCGAGGATGAATGCAGTGTCCCTCAGCAGAGCAGGAGATTCCTGAGGTGATTTGAGCAGGATTTATTCTTCCAGTAAAACAACAATGTGTCTGTCAACACAGGACCTGCAGTGCACATGCACCTAAAACACTGAGATATATAACATCTTAAAGGATTTTTGCGCATAAGCTGCACTTGGCACCAGTCTGTCTGTGTGCTGTATTTGTATAAACATGACAGGAGTGTTAAGGGAGATTTGAAGGGATGCTGTTTTCTGAATCGCCCTTGACAGCGTAAGAACAACAATGGCTCCCATGACTGACAACTTTTAACCTTAACATATCGACTTCAAAGCGCCTCTCTTCTTAAATTAACTTTGTAATTGTATGCAAAGCTAAAAAACCAAGAAACCTGTTGAAGTAAATTTTCTGCAGCTGTGAAATGGTTTGCAAACACCATGGCTGTGTTGCATTTACGCTTGCGTGACAGTGTTTGTGTGCACACACGCCTGTCTGTGTGTAACATTCTTTGTCTGCGTGAGCCCCGTACGAGAAAAGGCCCTCCTAATGCCAGCTAAGGTCAGGTCCGGACACCGTGGGGTGCACCCTTCTCCCACTGCGGTGGGCTGAGAGGCAGGGGGAGGCCTCCAGCGCTTCTGGGAAACAGTCTGGGCCTAATTGGAGCCTGACTGGTCTCACATGTCTCCACTTACTGGAGGAGACGGAGGATCCCGCCGCCTGGCCTATGAGAGCTGCTGCAGGCCCAGGCCTTTCCCCCCCTTCATCAGCATAACCACACAGAAGTGAATTCACCAAGCAGGCCTGACATGACAGCATGACTGAGTAGTGTGGTCTGCGGTGTTTCGGTGCAGTGAGGTCAGGTAGGCTGCACTGCCATTTTATATTGTGTTGTTAAAAGAATATTTGACCTTGACACAACCCTCTGAGTACAGTTTGTTCCAAAGGATCTCCTTTCTGTTCAGTACGTGCACCCTCCTCCCTATTGTTCCCGCTTAACTCATTCAGGGTAGGGACTGATGAAACCTCCCTGTCCAACTGTACAGTGTATCACGTTCCCCTTCTCACGCACGCAAAAACCTCAACCTCACACACAAAAGAAAAAAAAGCACACACTGTCTTTTCATGTGCCTGCGTATCCGCGCTGCAGTGAGAAATACGAGAAGTGAAGAACAGTGCAGATGGTGAAAAACAAAGACTTCCCTGCTGCTGCTGCTGCTGCTGTAGCTGCCTCACCACCACCACACATTTTTTCAGTTTTTTTTTTTTTTTTCCTCGCAGTGGCAACGTGCCTCTCATTTCCCATCAGTCACGGTCACCTCCTTGGCCCCACACTGTAATTCTCAAAAACGTCATTATCATCCTGATTTACAGCAGAATGCAAAAATATTGTTTTACTGCAGTTATGCAAAAATGAGCACGGGCAATTTCCCCTCCACTGTTACTCTATTCATTTAATATCACAACGCACAGTTGCACAGCAGGAATCTTGTTTTGCAAACGCCTTGCTATTATGTCTTTTCAATGCACATCTGGAACAAATTCTTTCATAATTTGTACCCATATTCAGCCAGAACACTGCAGGCTACAGCCCTGAGGAAAATACACAAATAAGCAACCGTTCATTTAGATTTGAATTCAGGGCATAATTTGGTTTTGCTGGGGGGGAAACATATTTTAATCTTTCAATCTAATCACAGATAAATGGGTTTTTGAAAGCAGTTCTCTCGGCGCAGATAAACACGTCTCAACTTGAGTAAACTCCAGTATTCACAAGACAGAGCTGTAGTAGTTTATCACTGTGCTTACTACCTGCTCCACATTACCCACAGGCCTCTGCAGCTCTACAGCTACACTGTGCGTGTCAGAGCAATTTAGCATTTACTGTAAATGTTAAACTGGGACTGAGGCTGATTTGTGTTCCTATAAAGTGCTTTTGCAGTGGCACTCCCCTCTGTCTCTCTGCTACACATTTAAGATGCTGAGAAGCACTGTGCACACTGCTCAGCATTTCGTAGAAAATATAAAGTGAAATGTAGGAATGAAATCATCAGGGCTGCACTTTCAGAAGTTTTGACAAGCAAGACTTTTTGACTGCTGCAGCCTCATACAGATTGTGATGTTGAAAAATGTTTTTGTGTCTCACTGAGGTCTTTACTCTTCACCATGGCACTGCAGGATGACAGTCTGGGCACAACTTTCAAACAAGGTGAGATTAAAGGGACAGTTTACCCCCCAAACATACATATTTTTCCTCTTGCCAGTAGTGCTATTTATCAATCTAGTTTGCTTGGTTGTCAAGTGTTGGAGATATCGGCTGTAGAGATGTCTGCTTTCTCTTTAATATAATGGAACTAGATGGCACTCAGCTTGTGGTGCTCAAAGTGCCAAAAAATACATTTGTAAAACTCAAAAATTAAACCCAGAACTATTTTTTTTCCCTTCCAAACTATACCCACCAACCGTATCACTGCGCTGGTCTCCCACAATCCACCCCACTGACGGATGAGGGAATTAAACAGTTTCACTGAGCCATTAATATTTAAATCTAGTAATGTCACAAGCACGAGTCTCGTCCATGAGTAGATGCACGCTTCCTTCTGTGCAGTGACACAGTTCGTGAGTGTAGTTCGGTAGAGAGAAAATAGTTCTTGCGTGAAACTGCTCACAACAAGGTCTGTGGATTATCTTGAGTAACCCGGTTATGACTTCTGGAAAGAGACATTGCTGTTGAGTATTTCAGATGTGTTTTTGGCACTTTGAGCACCACAAGTCAAAGGCCATCTAGTTCCATTAAATTCCAGAGAAGGCAGACATCCCTGCAGCTGACATCTCATACACTCTGCAACTCAAAAAAAAAAAAAAGAAAAAGAAGATTGATATAAAGCAAAACCAGGAGGAAAAATATGTATTTTTGATTTTGGGGTGAACTGTCCCTTTAAGATATATATTTTTTTTAATTTAATATAACCTGTCATGTCAGAGTTGGTCAGTAGACACCAACAGAAACCCAAAGATGCATGTGCATTTGTATTTCAGTCAGTTTCCTGCACGCCCGTTCCATTGAGAAAAAGTCATTTCTATTGATTGCTTTTCCAGGCATCATTTAATATGATACATATTCACTTGTAAATATCGACCTTTCCCTGCTGCCCCGACATTTGTGCCATAAATACTTTAAAGGCGAGCTTGTGAAAAGATATGAAATGTTACGAAGCTGTAAATAACGTCTGGATTTAAACAGTAACAGGAGAGTTTTTATAAAGGGTAAATGTGGGTGAAGAAGTACAAACTTTGGCAGTTAGAGTCAGAACAGAGATGGGATTGTTTAATTTCAAGGCTGCCCTCAAGTGGACGTAGTGTTCAGTATTAATGGACATACAGTGAGTTGGCCTCACATGCCCCGTAATTTAAATTGATTGATTTGGGATATCTGTAACTCAGCTGTAATTAATGAGCATCATAAAAACCCATGTTAGATTTCCTGAGGTGCTGCAGCACAATGCTTCAACAGTTATCACATACTGCCACCTGCTGGTAGCACTTTACTACTGCACTGTGAGCTGATGTGATGTAGTTGTGTAAAAGACGTTCACAGCCAGCGATGTGACAAATCTGTCTTTATTTCAGCTTGATTAAATGGCAATGATACAAACCTCAAATCAAACATTATTGAACGGAATACCAAAAGAAAAATGGCACAACTAATAGACAAATGAAGACAAAATACCCACTATACATTTAAGTATGTACAACTTTGATAAATAAACCAATACTGTCTAGAATTATGATTGTTTTGCTTTTTTTTCCTTATTCCTCTAGGATCAGAGCGCAGAGAGGAGCAGAGAGAGAGAGAGAGGAAGAGAACCAGGAAACAGAACAGGCAGGGGGTGAAGATAATGACCAGCAGGCACAGACGACTGGAGAGTAGAAAAGACAACCACTTGATGCACGACTCGCGACTGCGTTTGGTACCTCGACGCAGTTTGACAAAAATGACGTGTCACTGCCTTGGCCTGACCAATTAGCCACCCTGACCTTCATCGTTTGGTTCGCCGCAGTACATTCCTCACACAACAAGTAGTTTTGTATTGTTTCACATCACACTTTGGATCCTGAGACGGGGGATGACCCATTCTTTTCCAGAAATAGCTTCAAAGAACTGCACGTTTATTTGTGCCGCTTTGAAGCCTCTACAACAATAGGTCATATATCATGTCTTATATATAACCTGAAGCACACAGTATTGTACAAGGATCAATGAGGTCGGGCTGACGGCTGAAAATAACGAGTGATTTGTTTTACCATTTAATAGGTACAAAGAAAAAGCACAATGAAGGCAGGAAAAGATTAACTGTTGTTCAACTGGGAGAAGAAAACTGTGAATTACTGTCGCTAACCAGCAGCTTTTCTCATCACATTTCATCTAGAGCACCAGGCACTGTGCAGCAGTAAAACATCTTTCCTAACCATGAAATTAAGTAATAGAAGGTGGTCTTGTGTTTGAGACAGATGAGAAAAAAATGTGTAGGAAGAGAAAATAAAAAAGGGGCCACCAGCTCTAATTTCCAGACGACTAAAGACCTTAAGAGAAGCCCAGGGTGATCAACACTCGTCCCTTTTAAAAGACGCTAATCCCCTGGATGCATCTCCAGGACCTGCAGGAAATGAACAGCGAGAGCCAGACATGCAGACACCCTCACCTGCAGCAGTACGTCCCCACACTGCAGCTTCACATTTACGAAAAAAAAAAAAGAGAGTTCAGTCTGGGACACAGATGAGGCTTTCATTCCTCACATGGCTGTCATGTGGCGAACAGGATCCATGTCAACACGGACATGGAAAAGTTTCAGAACATCGTAACAATCTCCTGAGTGGCAACTTTTTTTTTGAAACAGAAGTTTTTGTTTTCTTTTTCGTTTTCCTACAAAATCAATACCAGTTGGCAAATTATACCCTCCCTCCTTCCCACACCCCGCCCCCACTGCAGATTCAGTTGCAAGACCTTTTTTTATGTTTTGTACAAAAGCAAACAAAACAGACGCAAGAGGAATCAACATTTAAAGCTGTAAAAATAGACACATATTACCCTAACATATTAAAGCACATCAGAAACTTTTCTTTCGGAAAGCAAGGAATATTTTGGTTGGAGCGCCACACTTGGTCAGACCTGCTGAGTTTTAAATGATGTGTGCTACGAGGGACTGCATGAGTGTATGCATGTTGTGTTTGTGTGCGATGTATATGGGCATTGTGTTTGTTTTAAAGCATCTTCAAAGGGGATTTTGCTGCGTCACAGCAAGATTTCCTTTTGGCCTCATAGACAGAGAGCACACACAAAGCTGAGAGAGAAAGAGAGACAGGAGGTTAGAGGACACTTTGGCCCTGACTCTTATCTAGAAACCCCAGCATGCTTCCTGTTTTTCTGGCCTGTAGAGTCCCAAAGCCAGAGCTAGTATGTATCCTAGAGAAATCCCCCACGGCCGAGGTCTGAGGAAGCCTCTGCACCGACCCACACAGGGTGAGCAGATACCCAGACCCCCCCCCCTACTCTGTCAAGTGCAACATCTGGAACGCTGGGCTGCTCTAGTGCCTCTTCATAGACGACACCTTCTTCTTCCTGGCTGCCAGCATCTCGTAAAAGGGGTCCCTGCTGATGGCAGCTCTGTGGGCACAGACGCAGAGGAAAATGTCAGTGAGAGACGCATAATGGCAGAATATTGCAAATTGCTGCACTTATACAGCGCTGTAATGTCAGATAATATACATTTCAACTTAATTAATGCTCATTATGTCAGCTTTTATTTTAAAAATTCGTAGAATTTACGTAGATATGTGTGACTATGGTAAATTGGAACTGTAAAAATAACATCATTTATCTCCTATTTTTCTCTTTATGCTCTAAATGTAAAATCTTCAACACTGTGCAGAAACAACTTGTGACAGTGTGGTCTAATCCAATCTGCTCCAACTGAAAAAAAAAACCAGTGAGTTTTAAACAGTGAGTCGTGCAGGCAAGTTCAGGAGGCAGTCCTACTCCTTCTCTGAGTCATAATTCACTCAAATTTGAAGATACAGACTTTTAGATTCAGTATGAATTATACTTTCTGATATCATTATCTCAGATAAGCATTGCAAAAAAAAAAAAAAACAGGATAAAATGCCCTCCTTGCCTCCAGAACTTCTCAGAATAATTTGTACAGTCATGGGTTTACTGGGTGCAAACAAGATGTGCTAGCAGCTAATTAGCCGACTTTTAATGGTGCCAATTTGCTAAAATTTGCACAGATATAGGCTTTAAAATTTGAGGCTTGAGTTGTAGTCACAGCTAACTCCCTGACTTCATGGCAACATTATACTTCCCGTTGATGTCCCCCAAATTATGAGACCCGCAGTCTCAAAACTTAAAGCACAATTATCCCCCAAAATGGAACCAAGACAAAGACAAATAATAGAAGTGACCTTGAAAAACCCTGACCTACAGCAATGAGCCTTATATGTAAGCATGCACCATACTTTGACTTCTAGAGGTGGGGGTAAAAAAAAGTATTTACTTGATGCTGTTCATCCATTCATCTTTTTCCTCAGCAGTGGGGGCAGAGATGCGGTAGAAGGTGTGGTTACCCTCCACAACACGTCCGTCAGCCTCTGTCTTGCACGCTTTTATCACCTGGTCCTTGTTGTCGGGAATGAAAAGCTCAAAGCAGTTCTGCAGAAGCAAAGTGGATGGAGGTTAAAATTTATAGGTAAGTATAAGGATGTAAAAATAACTGTCTTTTACTTTTACTGTCTACGCACTATTAGCACAAGTACTGAGAGTTCCAAATGTGTATAGTGGTGATGCGCAAACTACCCCGTCCAACCCACAAACATATGCGTTAATCAATGAGATGAACCTGACAAACTTGAAAAACCAAAGCTAAAAATTGCTAACAACTTACTCGCTGTTGGCTAGTTTGTCATTTCGAGTAAATATCAGAATATAAAACGTGTATTTTCTGTTTAAAAAGTACAAATGGAGGCACCACTACACCTATTCTTTAAGCGGTTATGTCTCAAGTATCATCTTAAGCGCACAGTGGTTTGTGTACATGACGTAACAGAGGTGCATATTTAACAGATTCAGTGTGGCCATAGAACCTTGTTGATAGGACACCATGTTTTCTCACAGGGAAATATTTTTACTGGACATTATGACTGGAGAGATTTAAGTATGTCGGACTTAACCGGATTTTTTTCTAGTCAAAAACTAAATAATTGAAACCCTGAGTGCAGCAGCTCTGATGATGAAGCTGCTTACTGTGTATGTTTGAGAGATTCAGATAGGGGGACAGAGAGAGAAGAAGAGAAGGTGGAAGGTGGACTGTTGCAAAAATGTTTCCAGGGTGTCTACAGATATAACCAAGTTAAATTTAAGACTTTTTAAGACCTTTTTAATACCTCCTTATATGAAATTTAAGACCAAACCTGCAATAGAAATACAACAATTGGGTTCAATGTTTTTTGTAAAAAAGAATCTCTCTGCTGTCATTAATGCTGTTTATTATTGCAAGTCTTCGGTCTGTCCAATGATTGTAAACAGTCGCTGGGTCTGTCGGGCTGGAGAAATGTTCGTGGTAATCTGATCTGATATTTACGAACCATCAAATCTGAATTTAAGACAATTTAAGACTTTTTAAGGCCTTATATCATATTCACTTCATGACCCATCTGCTTGAAACCAGTGATACTTTTCAACAAGCTTACCTGAACCGCTCAACTCATGGGTTATGGGCCAGCTCGTGCATCACTTGTGCCTGCCTAGATTTAGAAATCCCTCTTTATGGCCTTCTGTTCACCTCCAGACATAACTGTTAAAGCGGTTGTATGCTATTCCCTATCAAGCATATAATTGTCCATAAAAAGTCTATTTTTGTTTATTTAATAAATCAAATAATTCCGGCTGTGGAAATTTAGCTAAAATATTAAACCCCAGTAGTAGTAGTTTATAAATGGGCAGCACTGAAGACAGTCCTCCTTCGCTGCCCATTTCAAAAATGGATTGTAGTAAAGTATGAGTCTTAACTGTGTGTAGTTACAAGAATGAACCAGCAGAGGGAGCTGTACTTACAGGCTTCTTATCCTCCACCTCCTTGATGCTGAGGTTCTCCAGGGGGATGATTCCTCTGGGCTCCTTGTCCTGGACAAATGTAAGATACGTGAGTGACAGAGCGCTGCATGCAGGGAATGACAGGAACAGAGCGAGCAGCTTCTTTACTGCGACTGAGAAACTGAGCTGTACTCACTGTGGTGTACTCAAAGTAGTACAGACAGTTGTCTGTGAGGATGAACCACCTCCTCTTCCAGGTCTTAACTCGTCCTCCTGTGAAGCAAACAGCCAGCGTCAGAGAGGCTCAAGAGAGAGAGACGGGAGAGAGACGAGCACCGAAGCACCAGGTCGAGCAGCAGACAGGCAGACAGATGTATGGGCAGACAGACAGATGACGGCTCCACAGGACCCCTTTTACCCAAAACATCCCGCTATTCATCCTGATCCACCACTGCACCATGCGCTCACCATCACCACAGCTGCACAGCTCTCTGGTTATTGACTTTGTAACTAGTGATTAATTCCCCCTTTCATTTGTAGATACTTGAAGCTAATTTTACACCTACATTTTAATAACATGTACTTGCCACTCAACAGTTAAATCCCATTTAGTTGATAAATGCCATATTAAGGCTAATTGGAGTCAATCTGATGCCACAGGATAAAGCTCCATGTCTCCATTAGTGTCTTGGTGTGTCTCCCCTCACTTGTTCCTCTTTCCTTAGTTGCTGACTCAGAGGAATGAGTGTGGAGAGCCAGGATCAATACACAGGATACAGATCTATGTACTTTGCACTCACTGAACTTAATGAAGTAACTAGGAGACAGTTATAAATGTGGAAAGCACTCCAGTGACTGTATGAGGGCTGAATGTGGAAAGTAAGAAACGACTGAGGATTAAGTTCTCTTTGGTTTCTCTCTAGTTAACTCTGCACTCGCTGATCTGTAGCTGACCTCTGACCCCCTTTGTCACCCATACTTCCTGTTAGGGGAAACCTGATCACAGTAGCAGATGGCACTCTTGCTGTGGGAGGATGGGATGCCAACAAACTGAGAGGGGCAGGAAGCCCAGCGCCTGGAGTTATGCTCGGCTTCTCTACAGGCATCCCAGACACAAATTTCCTGTTTTTGGTTTTGTTAAGTGACTTCTCAGTCATACAGGAGCAGTGTCCAGTTAGGGGGGGCAAGCTTTCTTTCTGAACATGACATAAGGACCTAAGCCTTGTCTAGACGAGACTATCCCACCACCGATGTTAGTAAAAAGCTGCACTGTGAAACCCATCTACCAGGATAGAGGAGACTTTGAGGATGTTTATATACAGACATGTAGAACACGCTTGTGTTATCATATAACAGCAGCAGCACTGTATATGATATCCCATCATATCACAGACATCATGATAGGTCAAACACTTCAGTCTATGCTTGTTATAATCTACAGACGCCATCGAACACACGCTTCACTGGACAGGCGGAGATGGAGAGCCCCTCGCCGCATCTCGACTCGTCAGCATGTTGCAACAAAAAAGCAGACAAACAGAAAAACACAGACGCGATGGCAGAGTCACACAGCTGACGGCCCGAGAGTTGATTGGGTTGTGATTGGTTTCGTGGTCAGTTCCCGTCACTCCCAAAGAAGGAGAGATGACCTCCTCTTGTGCAAGAATGTGTGGGACGAGGCGGGACGTCCCAGCAGATTGTTGCAGAGGTGTGTGTGCACGGTGCTGGGCCGGAGTGGAGCTGAGTGGAGGAAGGCACCCATGCAAGACGGGACTGTGGGAGGCTGGGCGAGTAGAGGTTAAGAGGGAACAGGCTTTCTGCTAAATCTAATCTAGTTGTTCATATTTTTATGATTCTTTGGAAATGATTCATCAACAGGATGAATCAGCAACTGGTTGTCTTCTTACCTTGAAGGTTCTTTGCTTACAAGGACTCTTATTTTGTAAATAACAGACAGGAAGCGTCAATTACAATAATGCACTACTAACCATGTGCACTTGAAGTGTACATTAAGCATGCATGAATCATTTGAATAAAGCCTGACTCCCTTTTGGCACACTCCTCTGCCCACGCTTCTCTCCCCGGTTTGGTCCAGTCCGGTCGAGCACCACACCGGGCCGCAGCCGCGCTGTTACCCTTCAGATCCATTTACAGCATAAGATAAGGAGAGCAGAGCCACATCGTTGAAAAGGTGCAGTATTCCCCTTCCATGCGACCAGAGAGCACACAACAACGAGCCAATGGGTGAATGGGTTCATGATCAATTTAGAGAGTTCAGCAAAAGTCCTTTGTTGTGCTCGCTGTATGGAAAAAAAGGAATAATGCAGCTTCCAAAAAAACAGAGATCAAAGAGAGTGACCGACCACAGCATACAGAGAAAAGAGGGTCAAACGGCTCAGTAGAGTGGTCACAAAGCATCAGCTCCCCGAGCCGAGCCCACGGGGTGGCAAACACACCCGGCGACTGCCCGGCAACCACCCACAGAGATAAAAGAGTGTGGACAAACCACCAGCTCAATGAGAGACTGAACAGACAAACATCTGAAGTTCAAATGAGTCAGTGGAGAGACAAAAGATAAAAATAAAAAAAATCTGCAGACAAAAAACCCCCCAAACAAATAAATTATGAAAAAAACAAAAAAACAAAAAAAAACAAAACAAAACAAAAAAACAAACAAACAAAAACAAAAAAAAACACCTGTGTGAATGTATAAAAAAATGAGGAAGAGAACAAAAGCATGGCGGACCACCAAAAAGCACCCGAGAGCTGAGAGATGGACTAGCATTTGGGAAGAGCAGGTGTACATACCTCCTGAGGAAAGACAACAGCCAAAATCATGGGAACAAACAAACAAACGAAGAGGAAAAGAAAACAAAAAAAATCAAATTAAATGATAAGGAATTATTGCACCACAGTCCTGTTAATCTGGCTCCAGGGAGGCTTTGATGCACTGCTTTACAGCTTTGAGTTTTAACTTCATGTATTCTGAGTCAACAGATTTCACAGTAACACTTCCTATGATGCGTTACAAACATACTTATAATGCCTTAATATCTGCTTATAGCACAGTATAACTATAGTTATACGCACTCATAAATATTCATAATGTTTTATAACAATAATCATTATATCATTGAAGCATTTTAGAATGACTTTTATAGTCAAGTATCATATTATATTTTATAACTCACTGACTTTTTTGCAAGGGCCATAGTGTATTAAGATTGTATTCCATAATTTTTCTTTAATAATGCATTATATTGTAATTGTGTTACATTAAATAAGTATTATTATATACTAATATCACTTAATTTGGTGTTTAGAGGAATGTTTTTTGGAAACATTACATTAGTAAAATATAAATGTCCATCATTCAGTTGGATCAAACTGGAATTACCTTAACTGTACTCAGATTTTTTTGTCTTAATGACACATTATATACATCTACAAGTTTAGTATAACTGTTTCAGTTATTATGTTTCTGTATTTTTCATTTGATCATGCCTCTCTTTAATTTCATCTCTTTGTAAAGCACTTTGATCATCCTTTGTTGTTTTAAAATGTGCTCAATAAATAAACTGACTAGACTTGATTATCTATAATTTGTCTCAATTGAGTGACTTTTTTGGGTGAAAAAATAAATGTTCTCCATTCAACTGTTAGTCATCAAAAACATAGGTCAAATTGGAGTACTACATTTCTGTTTTGACCCATTAAAGAATTTCATTTTATATTTTGTGTTCTTCTTGCAAAGATTTAATGATATTTTTCCGATGTAACACAAACAATGACAACTTATAGAAACTTTTAATCACATTAGGATGCATTACAACAGTGACTATAATGCATTATAAAATTATTATATTGTACTCTATCTATAAAAATGATGACTATGATCCTTGCAAAAAAAAGCAATACGTGTTATGATTACTATTCAGAATCATTATAGATATTAAAGAGTGCTTTAACTATAATCATTCAGTGCTAGAAGCAAATTATAACACAATATAAGTATGTTTATAACACATTGTGGGTGCCACAGTAAGTGTTACTGATTTTACACATCTGCTGTTACTCTATCAGCCCACAAGGAGGAGTCCTACTCACTGTCACAGCTGCTGTAAAGCACTACATCAAATGTCGCCTCCACTTGGGTCCATTTCTGTTATATCCAGTAATTTACCTTCCACCCTGATTGTTTTACTCAAATCTGCCAATTTGGAGTAATTGGAGAAAGAGTAATTCCTCATTATCTTGTTGTAGTTGGTTGTAAAGATTCACAGCGATTGGAGGATTTCACTTTGAACACTTAAGCTTTTATAAAAAATAAATAAATTCATTGTGAATCTGTACAACAGAGAGAGATCTCAGAGGAAACAGAGGATGAAGAGTTCAGGGGTCCATGGTTGTGCTTTTCTGCTTGTAGGGTGACTGTGACCAGCAAAAAGTCAGGACAAAAAGGTCCATAAACTGTCACGAAACACTGTTAAAATTTATAACGACAGGAAAAATAGTTATAAAGCACTAAGACACCCTTTATCATTGAAAAACTCCGAGGCCTGCTGAGGATTTCCGCAGTGGGACAGAATATACACATAAAATCTCCATTAAAAGGACCAAAATGTACAAAAAATCCAGGATAAAAATGCCTTATTTAAATAGAAATTCAAAAACTTGGCGTATGTGCAGTATGTGTCTGTTTGTGTATGTGCATACACTTGATTTACAAGCGATAAAATCAGTATTTGAGCATGTGCGTGCATGTCGGTGTATGAATATGCCCTGTCTTAAATAATTCAACGACTCCACATGTGGTGCTCTGATCTCAAGGCTACATTCATAATACATGAAAGCAGGCGGAGATGTCTTCAGATGTCTAGGGTCGAGTGTGTACATACCTACGCGCACATGCTCACACCTTAGCACACTCACACATATATACACAGGTTCCTGACCTCAGGGGAGACACTGGTTATCACTATATGCTATGAAAACAATAATCCAAAATAAACTATCAGCATAGGTACATTGATGGGATTATTTTGGCAATTCATTACGTGCACAAATAACTGTGCACATGCATATCCAGTGTCACTCACCCAGTTTTAGCAGCCAGCCCTCTCTGTCTGGGTTGAAGAAAGTGTGTGTGAGGTCGTTGCCGTCATCCTCTGGGATTTTGAAAGGCTCATTCTTGATGCTCTCATACAGATTCTACAGTAAGTGACAATGAATACAGTAGGTTTGAGAAATCACTCACAAGAAGGGAAACAACAGCGAGTTTTAAATCCGTACTGACCCTGAGCAGGTCTTCAGGTAAGTCTCCTCCGTCATTGATTCCTCTGTTCATGGATATGAATCGTTCCACAGACGGCTTGTCCTTCACATTCGGGTTGTGGAGGCTGGTGTTCAGCATTATGATGGCAAATGACAGGATGTAACAGGTGTCTGTAACACACACACACACAAGCAAGATCACACTATGAGAGCGTGATGAGCAAAAGGTTGCTGTTTACCATAAAAACTGCTGCCAGTGTTTAATTCAATGTTTAAATATGAATGTAAATTAGCTGAGCTGAAAGGACTGCACTTAGGGGACCACAGTCAAACAGAGAGGAACAGATAGGCGAAGCTTCGTTAGCGTGGAGAGTGGGTGGGAGTGAAAGGTTGTGTGTGGGCAGCTAAGTATGCATGTGTGTTTCTGGACGTGCACTCTAATGTGTGTGTGTGTGCATCTGCTAAAAAGACAACGTGGCCAGCGCACGGCTGACGCAGCAGCACTTTATCTGGCCTGTTAGGCTGTTGAGAAGTCCCATGCATTATTCACATCCATCTGCATCCATGTTAGAGGCAGGCGGCTGTCTGCTATGGGCATTATTTCCCAAAAGCCAGACACTCTTCCAGAGCATGGTTCACCTCAGCAGACTTTGTGTCTGCTAAACAAAGCAGTTTAGATATGAGTTCCACTGACATGCCATTAAATCTCAGCGCAGTATGGAAAATAAAGTGCTTCAGGGAGACAAAATTTATCTGGTAGTCTCTTAAAAACTGTGAAATTTAGAGTTAAAACTTCTTATTAACAATCTGAGGGAGGAATGTGAATTAGAGTAACTGTATTCACATAGCTGACAAAAATGCCTTTGCACCTGGACTCTACTTTTCCATGTTTTTGTGTCTACATGACTAATGGGAACTGTGCACATTCAATTTGCATCCACTTAAAATGCTTGTTTTTGCCACTGACAGGCTCAGATTATTAATTAGCGTGTCTGGCAACATTATGGGAAGGATTCTAACAGAGATAGACCTTTTTGTTAAAGAGTAAGGTCCTTTTTGTTTAACCAGTACAAGCCCGAAATTTGCCATTGTCAAACCCACCAGACTCCATGTAAATTCACAGCAATTTAAGCGTGTATAGAGCCAGCATATTTATAGAGCCAAGATGTTTTTTGTAAGTTTTATTTTGTTTCCGTCTACTCTTGACAGAAGTGTGTTTATGATGATAAAATTATTACTTATCTAAATGTGTGGTGGGTTTGGCGATGACGAATTTGGGGCTGTTTCTGGTTAAACAAAAAGGATACAATACTGGCAAAAATACTTGTCTCCATCAGTCAGTTAGCATCAAAACATGAGGAAGAGGGTCCAGGCTGAAAAATGTCAAAATCACCCTTTAATCAATAAACTATTAAGACACAAGAAAACATGAAGTTGTTGTATTCATTGTTTCACTGCACACACGTGCTCACAGCTTCTTGGTGTTTCATGACAACACTGAGAGCTGGTGTGTATGGCATGACAGCGTTACCTGTGGACTGGAAAACGCCAGGGTTGCATTGGCAGTAGCGCTGGGCGAAGGCCTCCATCATGCGGTCGATCTTCTGAGCTTCTCCCGGTAGCCGAAAACTCCACAGGAACTGTCTGTGAGGGGACACGGCTCAGTAGTCAGCAACAGACTCACTTCCACTGTGAAAAGGCTGAATGATTTCTCTAAGGGCACAAGACTGAAACTGACAGCTGCATCTTTCCAAATTGCAAATAAGGAGACTTCAAAAAAAAAAGAACTGTATCACACATGATTTACATAAAAAGAGGGGTAAAGCTGTGAGAATCTAGTCAAGGACCTGCTGAGTATGTAGCAGAGCTGAGGATACAAGTTCTCTGGGAGATGCTGTCTTACCTTAGGGCCTGAACCAGGTTGAGGTCTGTGAACTCATGAAGCTCCACAAAGGCATGGAGGACTTGGATATTGAAGTCATCTCTAAAGGAGACAAAACATGACAAATTTCTTATTGGTAAACTTGGTAAACTATAAACAGACTGAGATGCATATAATCGGTGAAGTTCCCCATTCAAATTATCAATCAATTAAAACAGTTAATAATAAATACATTTTCTTTCAATGGATTAATTAGCTAGTTGTTGAAGCTCTAAAAAAGATGATTATACCTAACAAGCATATCTATTGTATAAAAATAGATTTTAAAAGGGGCCTATGATGCTTTTCCTTATTTTCTGTCAAATGTGTAATACTGCAGTGATGGATGTTCATATTAAACGTGGCCAAAGTTTTAAATGATGAGGTCAATGTACGTAAAAGTAATCCCTTCAGACCGTTCTGAATACTCTGTTTCTAACATAGACGATGCCAGCTTGTGACAGATTTCTTTATATGGTCATCCGCTGCTGTTTTTGAACATTGAAGCACATAAACAAATTCTGGGTTTCTACTTTAACATGTGTAAACATCAAAATGAGCATAGTAGGTGGTTCCTTGGTGGTTCCTGAGGAAGGCTTAGGCTAAACCATGCTTGCATTGTACTTCTCTTTCCATCACTGCCTCATTTGAAAAGTAGTCCCCATCAGGGGCATGACTGTGGACACTTGGGCTTAAGAGTATCTGTGACATGCTACATACTACATCAAACCCAACAGAAGAAAAACACCCACCACCTCCCTTTCATTTATCACCTAATCTGGATGATGACATCATTCCCGACCTTCATGCCCTTCAGAGTAAATGATCTCCCCTGTGGGATCATGGGAATGCTCAACGGAGCTCTCACTGACCGAGTCATATCCAGTCACCACTGTTCCCAGTGGACGAGTGACCAATCGTGTCTCAAGGCTCTCACGCTGCTCTGGCCACTCCTTACAGAATCAAAAAAACTACCAGAACTTGATAACAATCAAGCTAAGAGCATCCATCAACAGCCTGAGCTCCATTTCCTGGTTTGACCTCACAGACCACACCCTGACTGTAACTCTGCCTGCCCTATAGTCCCTCAGCAGCGCATACTGTACATCAGACTCATAGCTATTTCCTGTATCATGTGTTCATGCTAACGAGGATGGTCTCAACTCTTGAGTGAAATCTTTAATTGTCCTCAAATGCGTGCATTCCCAAGTTGTGAGTGTCTTGATCCCGTTACTTATGAGTGAGCAAGATAATCAAAGCCAGATGGAGGCTATTGAGTAACGGACATCGTCTTGAGAGGATGGTCTAAATGTGGGACCAATAAGCTGGAAAGGATGGGCGTGGGCCTGACCAAGAGGAAACACAGCAATATGGAAAATATGCACTCGCTATTCGATGCGTTTATCAACCACATGGCTGTGAGCTGATGAGTCATAACAGAGAGTGTGAGTGGGAGATGGTTAGATAGAGAGGGGGGAAAAAAAACAATAGATTAATCTTCATCCTGACCTCTCTCCGAGGTAATCTCCGATGGCTGTTTTGTTGAGGCCCTCGCCCTTGTAGAGGAATTGAGCAATGTCGTCGCTGGTGTTCTTCAGCAGGTCATTCTCAATCAGGAACTGGATCCCCTAAGAAAAGGGACAGGGCCCCAGGTTAGATCCTTGGGGACGAATCACATTTCTGAAGAATCGCAATGGTTCCTTCCACTTACCTTTTTGGGGTCCATGTTAAATTTCTTTCGGCCCATGGCCACCTGTTTATTCCTCTGCATATTTTTCCTGGAAAATCAGAGTGTAGGTTGTTAGTTAACATACTGCTTTATATGAATAAAAAAGTATATCAGGGTGCAACTAATAGTAACTTTTATTAGTGGTTAATCTGCCTATTATTTTTTAAATTAACTAATACAATGTAGAAATGTTGGTTACTGTCTGCAAACATGCTCAACAGAGAAAAATAATTCACTCCAGATCCCAGATTCACTGTCTTTTGGCTTACGCCTCTCTATATTTGCAGTTTTTTGACGCTGTGTCTCTTAGGTGCCTGCTGCTTATGGTCTGGCACCTGGTCGCTACGTTTTTAGACAGCCCCAACCTCACCTGAGGAGGTACAGGCCCATAAACATCTCAAGCAAAACAAGAAAATACAGGCAGAGAGAAGAGTCTCTGCTGAAAAATACGCTTCTAGTGGGTCAAAATGGATGATTAAGAGGAATTGCTTCGTACAAGTCTTTAGATTGTTTAATAGGGAAAATCCTGCATAGTATATCTTTAAGTATTTGGTCTATAAAATGTCAGAAAATGGTTTAAATTAGAAAAAAGGCAATTTCCCAAACTCAAGGTAATGTCTTTTGACAGCCCAAAAGTCCAAAATCCAAAAATATTAAATTCAATATCACTGAACTCTCAGGAAACCAGAAAATATTCACATTAGAGAAACTGGAATCGTGATGATTTTTTTTGCCTTTTAGGTATGCAAATCCCACAAATTGATTCAACCAGGCTCGGCGCATTACAATAAATGTATTCGCCTCATTTCCTGAAAGTGTCTTTCCCATTAACATTTTTCATTTGTTTGGCAGAGGCCGGACTTTCCTCCCCCTCCACTGTGATGACAAAGCGTTGATAAAGCATTTAACATCACGCATATGGGAACGTCTCATTTCTCAGGCCTTGAGTTATTCAGGGGTCAAAGTGCGCTCAAAGAGTCCGCCATCGCCATGGTTACATCTCCATCTCCAGCCGGTGAGAGGTCACCACTTGTTCCCACTGATTCACTCGCACCAGCATTCCTTCAGCTCTTGTCGGCCAAAGTCCAACACTCGACTAAGCAGACGCTCAGCGGCAGCACAGGCCATCAAGTGCTCGCTTCAGTAAATGGATTGAAGGAAACTTTGATCACAAGAAGGTGCTGTAACCTTTAATGGGTTTCAGATCCAAGAAGGAGTGCTTTAGGATTTTTCGGTAGCTGATGGGATCCCTATCCACTTGAGTAGACCCAACATCAGCACTCCCTCCCCTGGGACAAACCATTGTCTGCTGCTGCCTGTACACCCACTGCATTATTCAATGAGGCCTCCCATCATGGGGGTGTGCCTGATGAAACATTTAAACTGCCTTAAAAGCATAGCCAATTTGGGGGAGCGTATTCTGTGCGACGGGAAGGCCCGACCTGCCCATCAAACATTAATAATTGACAGCTTCATTTGCTAAGTTAATAGAAGGCAAACAAGAAGCCAATTTAGGCAAAACAGAGAGAGTAATCTGTGTGTAGGGGAGGGGCAGATCCCTTTTTCTTACCTCTCCTCAGTGGAACCCAGGTTCTCGATCTCACTTGTCACTTCTGCTATCTCATCCTTCAGCCGCTGTAGGAAAGACACAAAGGTTAGTCCTAAAATGTCACAAGTATCACAAGAAGATGAGTTCATCATCTGCCTATTAATTTCTCTGACACCTGGAGGCGTGGACGAGTGTGACCAACACAAACAACACGCAAAGTATTTGTACCAGGCTTTATTAAACAGTGCCAAGGGAGAGGCCATCATCTCCCTTTGTCTAGAAGCCAGGTGGCCTTTAATCACATCCAGTAAATACTCACAGCAGAGCCATCAGCTCAACAAAGAGAGCAGAGTCACTGCTGATGAACTGAAACACAGCTGCACATCCAACTCATTTCCTTTAAACTAAAAACTGACTCAAAGTTCAAAGTTATTTATTGTCAAATGCAGAACCATTACAAGAGCAGTCACTGCCACTGAAAATCTTGGGACTAAGGCCCCTTCCAGCAAAGCAATTAAAGAAAATCACACAACAAGAAACAAAAAGAGCATCTAAGACATAAAGTAGTTCAAGTTAAAAGTTAAAATATACGGATCTATATCTCAAATCAATGCACGTGTTTGTGTGTGCTCTCCTAGAGAAATCCTCTCGTACTGAATTCAATTGGGCGGAGATCAGTCGGGGACAACCTCAATACAAATGGAGTAAGAAAGCGTAAAAGTGGATTATATTTTGTGTAGCGTTTTAGTGATTAATGGCCTTAGAGGCAGATTTAGTCGATCAAGCCAGGGCCGCTGGTGCCAGGCTGGCGCAGTAAGGGCATTACAGAGGGTAGAGGATGGAGAGGGTGACGTCAGCTTGATGAAAGTGCGGAATAATAGACTGTAGCATAAGAGAGGTCCTGTATGCAGGCAGAGCTTGCTTTGGATCATGGGAGGATGCAACTCTTCAAGTAGAAGGGTACAATCATCGAGCCTCTCCATTCATATCCAGCTGCAGTGTAAGTTTGTAATTCCTCATGCATAATGCCGACTCACTATAGGCCAAACCACAAAGGGAACATTTGTGATTTCAAGCTCTGCGCAATCACAACACATTCCTTAAATGCTTGCCTCCACAAACAAAGGCTGTGCACATACAAGAAAATGGGTGGTTGTGGTGGGGGGGGGGGGGGCAGTAGTGGCCAAAGGGGGGGGGGGGGCAGCAATGTTGGCCTAGGCTCATAAAAGAGAGGGTGTCGGATGTGTCAGGTGTCAGGGCCAGTGGAAGTTGAGTCGTCCGACATCTGGAGGCCGACTCTCTGTCAGGCCATGACAGTTCTGTCACCCCTGTGTGTCGTTTGCTTTGCCGGTAATTGTGTGACAGAACAGAAGTGACAGAACTGACCCGAGCAGCTCACTTCGATAATCAGCTCTGCTCTTGGGTCTAGGCAACAGCCGAAAAAACATCATAGGATACCAATGATTAAGGAAATTTGGCCAAGCTGATTTGAATCCTGGCTCTCTTTAGAAATCAGAGAGTACATGAGGGATATTTGTCTGGCTGCATGAGCACGTTCCTCATAAGAGCATAATCCTATTTCATCTGGATGCAGAATCATTTGCTTGCCTTATATTTATACTCACGTTAAATTCAAAACCAAATTTGAAGAAAAACACCCAAAAGAGATCACTTGTATCCATAAATAGAAGTCTTTGCTGACACAGAGCATCTACAAAACACAAATGGCTAAACAGTAAACAGAAATGGTTTAAGGAAGTGAGCACTTCGCAGGAAATACCTCAAATTCCGCTTGGAGTGAAAAGTTTTAAGGATTCCTTAGAAAAGAAATATTTGTACAACTGGAAAGGAGGTACATTTTAATCAAGAAGGAAGAGGAGTTACAGTGGAAATGAGCCAAATGTCTGGACCTTGGACCCAAAAAAATGCAGATCCTTCGCTGCTCCAAGAGCCTCTAAATCTCAAGATTGGTCGTTTTAATGGGTGGGTCACTTAAATTTTTTATTAAGATTAGCCAGACCGTGATATTAAGTTTAATTGGATCCAAGCAGCATAATTTACATTACAAGCTTTTACAGGCAGACAGAGTTACAGCACCCTGAAATCTGTTGCAGTTGGGTAAAACGGGCCAAGTAGTTGATTTTTTTGACACGTTTTTATTGAGAACTCCTGAAACAAGTAAAATTATGTTTGAAAAAAAGTATACATTTCTCCAAAACATCAGCAAAACCGAAAATGATAACGCTAAAGGTGGATATTTTTCTTTTTTTGGGTTACTTGTACTTATCTACAGTTCCTGTGTTTTAAGATTCATACATACAAACATTACAACATCCTCCACATCCCACTCCAGTATTACCTGAATGTCCTCCAGCAGCTCCTGCTTGCGCCGGCGGATATTCTCCAGCTCCTGCTGCTCCTCTGGGGTGAGGTCGTCCGGCACTGGAGGGAGATGAGAGAGAGGATGAAGGGTTAGGACAGAGTCGCCCAAAATATAATGCACCTTAATCCTACTCTATGCATATCTATCCCCTGAGGCGTGTCCCTCAGGGTATCACAGAAATAACGTTATAATTTTGCTTCGTATCAGAGGGTGACTGAATGCCCACGGCTAGGGGTGGGAAGTCCTGCCTCATGAAACGTGACTGTGGCAATGACAGTGGTGAAAAATGTTCCTCAGCAGCAAGAGAGGAGAGGAGAGGAGAGGAGAGGAGAGGAAGGAGGAGACCATTTTCAGACAGAAAACAAGGACTCTCAGGTGAAGTCCACACATTCATGGGGATTTCTGAAAACAGGGTTATCCCTGCATTCTAAAAAATAAAAATCCCATCCACACAAGCCTTGTTTTAAAATCTTTAAAATCTCCATCCAAATGAATACAAAAACACAACTGACATGCTGTCAAGAGCACGCCAAACCAGCAGGTAGCGATAACCCTAAAGCCACACAAAGACTAAGAAGATGTCGACCAATCAAAAGCCTGAACAAAATCTATTATCGAAAGGCTACCTGTAGCAGTGACCTCTGTAGCGTATTCTGACACCTCTGTTCCTCAAGATAGTGGAAGAGTAACTGCACATTTATGTGTAAACATGTAAAAACTCATGTTAGCAAAGTTAGAGCCAGCACTATTTTGGTCCTGTCTGCCATTGCATTAAAGACCGCCTCTTTAGTAACCCCTCATGAAGGAGACAACAGCGCACACTCTGACGTTACAAGCCAAAAACTGCTTTCCCTGCCTAAAAATCTCCACCCTGGAAGGAGTTTTCCAAAAGGTCAATTTTAAGCGACATAGACCACAGTTTGCATGTGGATGAAGGCCCAAAATTCACAGAACAAGCTACATTTTCAAACTTGTATATATGTAGACTAGGCCTCAGGGTATGAAGCACCGACACCAAAGTCAACCAAGTCTGCAGTGGCCAGGTGCACTTTGAAGAGGATTTACCTTTTGTGTGTAATCTGCCCAACTAAATGAAAGAGCTCAGGTCAGCCAGGCAGCACTGAGCATCAGCACCAGAGTAGCATAAATGTGACAGGTCTCAAAGCGCTGCCAGTCCTCCTGTCACTCACGCTATAGGCTGTTATAATTAGCTTTGTCTGTGCAGAGGACTGAGGGACGAGCAATGTGTCCTGACTGATGGACAGTGTGTTTGTGTGTCTGTGTGTGTGCAACCCCTACCTGCACTACAAGCATAAAGGGACACCACTAGGATCAGCACAACCTCTGTTTCCTTTACTTCAGCACTGTGTTGGAAGCATTTTGTTTCAGTCTTTGTAGTTAATAGCTATTATTGCATCAGGATTACTTGAATAAAAAAATCTTTTTACAAGTATGCAACTTGGGAAAGGAAAACGTATCTTCCTATGCATTTCTAAAAACATCTGTGATGCCTGAAGGGAACTGATTCCACTCTCTTCGTGTCAACAAAAACTTGTTGTCACTTGCTGAACGAAGGCATGATCCAATGTGCATTCATGAATTCTAAGTTTCAGTTGAACTTCTTGTGAAGCCCTCTGATGTGTGAGACACCAACAATTTGGTCGCTCTGCAGCAACACAACCACTGCAAAGTGTGGTTTGGCAAACACCGAACGACTGACACAACATCACAACACATATTTAGCATGGGTGGAAATCACCCTGCTGAACCCTGACAGTGTCATGAGCTGCTCAAGTCACAGCCGTTATGTTGGAAGATCATCTCTGTCACTCTGTGACACTGTGTGTGACTCTTTCTGTGATTTCTCCAGTGGCCACACACAAGCCCCCTCGTGTGACCTCTCCTCCTCCCCTCATTACCTCAGCAGCGGGGTTGAAAGGTTAAAGCAGTCGAGGCTGGGGTTGACCGTTGATCTCTGCAAACTGGTTAACAAGGTAATGGTTACAGAGTGGTGGAAGCTGAGGACAGAGGAATCTTCAACATGAAGTTTTAAATTACTCATGTCACAACTGTCTATGATACCATAACGACCATAAAAAACATTAATTCAATATTGGTCCTACATGAGCCTAATAAAACCACACATATTCACGACTAAATGTGAGCAGCTAAACTGTGGATGCAGTGTACCTGCAGTATGAGGTCAGTGTAATGAAGGTTAAAAAGCTCAACAAAATCTAGCACAGCAATCGATAAAACAAGGACGAGGCCAGCCATCTAGAAATTATGAGCTTCATTGTGCTTTGAGACACACAAACACACACAACTTCATGATCAGCAAAATACAACATCAGCTCGTTTAATTTCTCATAAAGTAGATTTAATCCAAGCATAAAATCCTACATAAATGACATCCTGGAGAGAAATATATGCTGCATAATGGCAAGCACTTATTTTTATAACAGAAGGTATGCTAACCTAAACATCTTGGGGCAAATACCCATGACTTACACAGGAATGTCTGCTAATATTTAACACAGGGATAATAGACAATGGCAGACCACAACAAGAGCCTCACAGCGGGCTGTTCAGGAACTCCAAAACAAAGCCATGTTGTCTTCCCGTCTTGTTTTCAGACAGCTGGGGGAGCAAGACAGTCCGCACGAAGTTGACCTTTCACACATCATACCTCACAGCCTACAGTATCCCTGGCAAACTGACCGAATCCATCCCAAATATTCAGGGTATCCATGGAAACCATGGTTAGCTCTTGACAACTGTTCTCACTTGCAGGGGAGGGCTGACACCAAGATAAATAGTTGCACGAGCTTTTGTTTTTGGTCGGACAGTTCCCTCGAGAGCAGCTCACATTGGGGAAGAAATGGATGTTTTGATACAGACTGAGATGCACAAACAAGCGCGCACACTCACAAAAACAAAGTGCTGACAGGTTTGAGAGTGTGATCTGCCTCACAATTAATGACCCTGTCTCCCGATCAACCGGGCAAATAATGTCACGCTGAGTAAACCCAGAGCGGGCTGTGCATGTATCAGCACAAACAAGAGCGACAGAGAGGACGAGCTAAAAGCAGGAGGTGCATTCCTCTTTCTGGAAATATGATGTCAGGTTGGGCGGCTGGCGGGTGCTGAAGGGAGCCACGCCACACAAAACGGGACAGCCGGACCCAACACGACACAACCACAGCATTCCTGTCTTAGAGGAGGACCACGAAGTGACGAGAGAGGAGCTGCAGGAAAGGACTATAATTTTAAAGAAATTTAGCAAAGGAACGTTATCATTTGAAGATGGAAATCATCTGCTCACTTGCCTCCTTCAAGAGCACAAACATGGAGAAAGAAATGAGTATTTCAGCCCATCGGCAGGGCAGATGCATGATGACTCTCTGGTCCTGGGATTAAAGGGCAGGATTTCCACCCTGCCACCCCACACGTCATCTACCATCAACCACATGATCAGGCTTAGTCGAGAAGCCAATCAGGTACACCCATCACCGCCTTCCCGACTCCACCCGAAATAATCAAGACCACATCAGGGAAGGGAAAGGCCCCACCCACACATGTGCCAGAGGTAGGCACCAAGTGGGAGTCATTTCCCAGAACACAGCAGATGAGGGGAGAACCCATCCACTTAAGTAAACGCTGAGAGCAGCGTGTTTCCCTTCAGTCTGGGAGCACTGCCTGGCTGTCATTCAGCAAACCTCTGCACTGGCACAGCCAATGAAAAGACACTGTCATCAGAAACAGACAGGAAATGACAAAGACAGAAAGGGCAAACAGGGTAAAGAAAGAGTGACGGAGAGAGTCTGTTTGTGTACAAGTGAAAGCTAATTATCTCTATAGGGCAAATTTTCTGACGCCTTTATAATATCCATCTTTTACCGATGCAGCAAGAAGGATAAACGTTTGAAGAATAAATGATGAGAGGTGTTATCTACGTCTATATCTGACTTTAGGAGCCTCTCAGAAGCAAAGGGCCCTACAGCACTCTGACTGGGGCGACCCTGTATGTAGTGATTTCCACAGGCTGAAAGAGAAACACGGGCCGCCCACATCTTCACTCCTTCAGGGACTCATGCTGCCCGGAAAGCGGGTCATTCAGGGAATCACATGCACACGGAGGCGTGCATGCTTTGAGCACAGTTGTGCACACAGTCCAGGGAGCAGCCACGTGCACATGCGTAACACCCACACACACCGAGGCCGACACAGCGCATTGTCCGCTGTGCCTGGCGCTGTGTCAGTGTTTAGCAACTTGTGTTTTAACTTTCAACAGTAACACCATCTGACTGGAACTGCCCAGACTGTGATATTCAGACTGAGTCCATGACGTTACTGCAAAAATGTCTCATATAAAGAGCTTATTAGACAGAGTCAGAATCGGAAACAAGGCAGGGCAGTTACAGTGGCGAGAAAATGATACTAAATTTATCTTGTCACATTCGCTTTTTTGAAAAAAACAGTAGTTTTTTCTGAATGCCTTCACGCTAGCAGTGTTTCCTGAAGCACTATCTCTGACACAACTAACACTTGTAGCCAATGCATTTGCCAAGTGTGCCACATAGTGAACAGTCTCTACACTTCCAGCAAAACTGTAAACACTATTTTGCCAGTTGCCTTTCCACACTGATACATGTGTACACAACATTGCATGTGATGTGCATGAAGTCTAATAGCCACAGGAGGAGAGTTTTCAGCCTAATTGTTCTCTGTACTTTCTTTTTTACAACAAATATCTTGTTTCCTTTACTCTGCTTTTGTTTGTACTAGACTGCTAACACAGGAAGTGTAAAGTAATTTGAAAACATGCAAGTAGAGAGCAGATAATGACGGTTCCCCTATGTTAAAGTACAGACATGTCCCAAATGTGGGACAGTATAATCTGAGCTTCAGCTTGTGGTGCGCTAGCCCTCATTACTACTGAGTGCCGTTTAGCCTAATTTTATGACTCAAAACACTCAATACGTTCCCTTTGAGTATAATCATGGTGCCCACTCCTGAACTGGTGCATCCATAACCCCTTGCAAAACTTTTGTCCCTT